CTGAACTGAAATGCTGGTTTACATATGACACAATAAAGTGTGTAAATGACATTTAAAGGGACAGTGTACTTTGTGCATGTCGAGGATCCAGTTTCTTCAGAAAAGACATGGAACAGCTAGTTAAACAGCCTCAAAGAGCTCTGGCACAGTAATGATTATGATAATGTTAAAACAGAACTTTCATCAGAAAATGAAAATGTTACTAAACCCAGGACCCAGCATTCACTATATATGGTCTCCCTCAGTACACAGAGCATGGAAATGCAATTATCTTAGCAAATAAAAACTGCTAAGTATCTTTTCTCATCGGCAGTATATAGCAGTCTTGTAACTTCCATTAGTGTCTGGCCGAGCATTGTTTAAAGCTTGTAGGAGGCGTTTTCATCCTCCTCTGACTGTCCTATGAGGCTGTATGACTCCTAACCCTCTATCTGGACAGTGCTGATTGGCCCTGTGCCGATCACATGGATCCTTCCAAAAGAAAAAAAAAACTCTTTAGCAATTCACACCAAACTGAGCATGTGCAGAGTGCCAATTAGGGCTCTGTACTATCAGCAGATGGATTGGGGACTATGGAAGAAGGGGAGGATCAGAAAAGACAGGATCAAACAGCCTTTTTGCACAATGCAGAGGATTAGGTACCACAGTGAGTATTACCAGTGTATAACCATGCATTAATACTGGTTGCAGGATATTAAGTGAACACAAGATGGCAGTGTTCTGCAGTTCAGTTATGCAGACTCAATTGAAGAAAAGTCTTGTTGAACTTGTATGCTGGTAGCAGGACTTCTGCGCTCAGACAAGGAGTGAACAGATTACATTTCCCATAAGAGCTAGCAAAGGGGCAGGAGCATGTATATATATATATATATATATATATATATATATATATATATATATATAGAGAAGCCTGGGAACTTTACAGGAAAGAAGTGGATGGTGCTGACGGGAAGGAGGGGTGTGTGTGAAAAAGGTGTGCAGGACTCTGGAGGTCTGGGCTGGATCGGGCCACTGAGCGGAGAAGTAAAGAAGGATTGCAGACTGCTGGTATCACTGACAACCAGGACAGACATAGTGCTGTCATCGACATCGCTCTTCAACAGAGGGACCAAGAGCCGCCCACCCCCAACAAAGAGACTGTTACACAGTAGAGGCTACAGATCGGGTGAGAGACTTCTCTATTCAGATTATCACAAGTTGCAAGTGACTTTTAAGTTCAATTGTTTTTTTTTCACTTTATGCCACAGCTTATCACATTGAGACCCAGACTGCCCAACCCATTCAGTATTGCGGCCTACTGTTTTAGTGCCGCATTAACATCCTGAAATCACAGGAATTTGGCCGCAGCATACATACTCTGCAGACAGGATTACATTAGTACATCATCTCAAGTCTCTTCCAACCCCAAAGGAACCTGCTTCACCAGACTAATTCACCATTTTTAGAGGGGTCAACCTCTGCTTAGGTCTGCTTCTGCCCCTTTCAACAATCTTAGCTAATTTTTGCCTTTATCTCTTGTGTCAAAGTGACTTTACCCAAATTCAACATTACTCAGGGGGGGGAATTTTAAGTTATTAAACCATAAGGAAATCTTGCTCTCACACAAGGAAGAATCTGAGCCTTAATGTGCACCGACTAGGGTCCCATCAAGCACGCAGAAGGTTTGACACCCTTAAAGAAATACAAAAAGGGACACGATCACTTATAATAAAAGTACTAATCTCCAGAGGAAAAAAACACCGACAATTGAGAGAGTTAGCCCAACAGCTTGATATTTCACTCCAGCTCACTGGGGAGTGGCATCTCAGAAGCTGGAACTGATGTTTAAATTCTGATCCTGCAGGACATTTGGGGTTGCTTAAAGTGATACTATACTTAATTACTTTGTTGAACCGTTTAGAGTGTTTAATTTTTCTTTTATGCACAATTATGGTCATTCTTGTTGTGCTCGCCCTTGTTATATTTTGACCTCAGTATAACCAGAATATATGCTCACTCTAAAACAGTGTCTGTTTATTTAAGGGCTACAAGCCAGGGGGTCCGACTGGTCAAAGGCTCACAGGGGCTGTGCTTTCAAAGCAGGCTCAGGACAGACAGGGAACCCAAAAATACTCAGTAGCCTTCAAGAGGGTAGCGCTACACAAGCATGCTTTACTGTATATACAGACTGATTTTACTGTTTTGGGTTTAGTAACACTTTAAGTCCTGATATATCACTTCATGCTGGTCCCTTTTGCAGTTATTGCTATGTAAAACATTATTATTTATTATTATTATTACAGGACTTATATAGCGCCAACAGTTTGCTCAGCGCTTTACATTATGGAGGAAGACAGTACAGTAACAATACAGTTCAATACAAGAGGGATCAGAGGGCCCTGCTCCTTGGAGCTTACAATCTAGAAGGGAGGGGATAGTGGTACAAGAGGTAATTAGCTGTGGGGGATGGAGTGGTAGGAGTAGTGGATTCCAGTATTAGCTGGGGGCGGGGTAGGCTTCCCTGAAGAGATGGGTTTTCAGAGTGCGCCTAAAGGTGAGCAGAGTAGGCAATAGCCTGATAGTTTGGGGTACGGAGTTCCAGAGGATGATTGAAGCCCTTGAGAAATCCTGGAGACGAGCATGGGAGGAGGAGACAAGGAAGCTAGAGAGTAGGAGGTCTTGCGAGGAGCGGAGAGTACGGTTTGGGTGGTATTTAGAGACAAGGTCGGTGATGTAATTAGGGGCAGTGTTATGAACGGCTTTATACGTCAGTGTTAGTGTTTTGAATTTTATCTGTTGGGCAATTGGAAGCCAGTGGAGGGATTGGCAGAGAGGGGTGGCAAATACAGAGCGGTTAGTAAGGTGAATGAGTCTGGCAGCAGCATTCATGATGGACTGTAGTGGGGATAGCCTGCAGTGAGGTAGGCCAGTGAGGAGGGAGTTACATTAGTCAAGGCGTGATATAATAAGGGAGTGAATGAGTTGCTTAGTGGTTTCCGAGGTTAGGAACGGTCATATCTTGGAGATGTTGCGGAGGTGAAGTCTATATGAGTTTAAAACATTAAAAATAAGTGTCTATACTGTTTAAAATCCAGTAATACACGGTCTCACCCTGCTATGCACATGCTCAGTTGCTCTTTATTCTTGCCACTGTGCCTACAATTAGTGACACCAGCTGACAGATTTAAGATTTACTATTGCTGAAGAAGGAATAAAAACAGTAATGACACAGACTATGCAAAGGGAACACAGACCTTGAAGGGAGAAAAGAAAAGCAGGAGAGGTGACAGAACAAACTTTGCTACCCGAGAGGCACACAAAAGTTAAACTTGCAAGGATAGGAAGTATCCTTGTATCTCCCGGATTCTCTCTCCTTTCTTCCTGGAAGCTTGTTAACTTCAGCATTGTAAACCCTGCTTCATGCTAGCACAATATGAAAGTTGTCGTGACTTCCGGCATTGCAAGCCCTGGTTCATACTAGCACAATATGAAAGTTGCTGTGACTTCTGGTCATCCTTGCTGCCTAAAAACTTCCCTCTGAGCGTAACGGAAATGCACGTTCCCCACTAGCATTTTCAAGCATAAATATGCGTCACACATAGGGCAGCCCAATCACTTGATTGAGCAGCCCTACGCATGACAAATGCAAAAAAGTAGCTCTAGAATGTTTTCAATTGTGGAATGTCATGTTTTTGTCGTGCGACATAAACACACATCTGCTAATCATGATTGGGGTGTAATTAACAATTAGGCTGCATTTACATCTCCAAGTTTCTGAATGCGCAGCAACCCATGAAAACTCATGCTGTGCATTTCGGAAATGCGCTGCAAATGTGCATTGTGCTTGCATAATGGCAAGGCATGCGCGATGTGTGTTTCCAAAACTTGTGGCAAAGCACTAGTTTCTTGTTCGGATTGCTGCACATTCAGAGATGCCCAGATGCGAACACAACCTAAATGGTAATGCAAGCGGGACGCATGTTGCCTTGCATTTTCAAAACGCACAGCAAACAGTGTCCTTTCTTGCGGGTTGCTGCACATTTTGAAAGGTGCAGATGCGCATAAATGGTAACAAGCACAACGTGTGTTGCCATACATTTTTGAAACGCACTGCAAAGCATATCTTTTTCTTGCGGGTAGGCATGCGTTTAGAAGTGCGCAGATGAAAACGAATGGTAACGCAAGCGCAATGCAGTTTGGGTGATATTTGGAGACAAGATTGGTGATGTAATTTGGGGCAGAGTTATAAACGGCTTTATATGTTACGGTTATTGTTTTGAATTTTATTAGTTGGGCAATGGGAAGCCAGTGGAGGGACTGGCAAAGAGGGATGGCAGATATGGAAAGGTTGATAAGGTGGATGAGTCTGGGAGCAGCATTCATGAAAGACTGAAGAAGTCATAGCCTGTGAATAGATAGGCCAATGAGGAGGGAGTTACAGTAGTCAAGGCGAGAGATAACAAAGGCATGAATACCTTGCCTAGTGGTTAACCACATCCAGTCTGGACACTTATACCCCCTTCCTGTCCAGGCCAATTTTCAGCTTTCAGTGCTATCACACTTTGAATGAAAATTGCGCGGTCATGCAATACTGTACCCATATAAATTTTTTAGCATTTTTTTTAAGACAGATAAAGCTTTATTTTGGTGGTATTTATTCAGAACTGGGATTTTTTTTTTGCTATGTAAATTAAATGTCCAAAAATTTTGAAAAAAGTTTTTCTTATAAAATTTTGCAAATAAATAGTATTTCATCATAAATCTTGGCCAAAATTTATTCCATTACATTTTTTGTAAAAAAAAAAAAAAATAACCCAAATTAGTTTAAAACCAAAAATTATAATTTTTTAAACTTTTTTTTACATACTGTCACCCTAGCAGCACAGTGTCACCATGTACTTGTGGGGGGTGATGAAGATTTTTTTATTTTTTTTACACTGATTGCTTTTGCACCCATAAAGGATGTAAAAGCAATAATTTCTCCTTCTCTCTAGCTGCATTCTTGCAGCCAATGAGAACTACTGAGTGAGCCGTGATTGTTCACAGCTTGTCACATGGTACAAGGCTGTTGTCAATAGCCTTGTACCATGTGACCTCTCACACTTAGTAAGCAATGATGTCAGAAGTGACATCTTGCTTACTACTCTGCATGTGATCACTGATTGGCCAACCTGTGCGAGGTCCCATACAACGATCGGTGTTCCACTGTGTCCGGAGGACACAGCGGGCACCAAATTGCGGTGCTGCGCGCTCCCAGGGAGTGCGCACAAGCAGGGTGCGGGGAGGCTGTTTATAAACGGCCATCCGACCCTGCACTGCCACCGTCCGGCTGTTTATATACAACGGCCAGACGGGAGGTGGTTATAAACAGGCGCATCTTGAAGATGTTGTGGAGGTGAAGTCTACAAGACTTGGACAATGACTGGATTTGGGGCTGAAAGGACAGATGGGAATCCAAGATTACACCTAGTACCCTGGCATTATGGGAGGGACTGATGGTTTTATTATTGATCTTGATGGAGAAGTCAGGGGAGGGGGCATGGGCTGGAGGGAATAGTATGAGCTCTGTTTTAGAAAGATTTAGTTTGAGAAAGTGGAGTGACATTCATGCTGATATGTCACTCAGTAGGTTAGTAATGTGCGAGGAGACTGAAGGGGTAAGAGGAGGAGTAGAAAGATAGATTTGTGTATCATCAGCATAGAGATGGTACTTGAAGGTGTAGATGGAGAAAAGAAGGGGCCCAAGGACAGAACCTTGAGGGACCACTACAGAAAGAGTAAGTGGAGCGGAGGAGAAAGTTATAGACATGCTGGTAGGTGAATTGATTCCTGTCTTAATTGGCCCTAGCATGTGTATGTATGAATTAGAGTTAGGGACCTTAGATTGTACGCCCCTTGAGGGTTATGGACTAATGTGAGTGTACAATATATATATGTAAAGCGCTGCGTAAAATTGACGGCGCTATATAAGTACCTGAAATAAATAATAGGTAACACTAAAGGAACGCTGTGATAGGTAGGAAGAGAACCATGAGAGAGCAGAGTCTTGGAGGCCAAGAGAGTGGAGTTTTTTTGAGGGGGATGGTCAAAAGTATCAAAAGCAGCAGAGAGGTCACATAGTAAGTACAGAGTAGGGGCCATTGGTTTTAACAGTAAATCATTACTGAATTTTAGTAGGGCAATTTCAGTGGAGTGTAGTGAGCGAAAGCCAGACTGTAAAGGGTCAAGAAGGTTAATAAATTTTAAAAAAAATTGGTAAACTCCAAAATTTCTTAACGTGAAATAACATAAATCCCCTAGACGCACAAAAAGTCACACTTTCCCCCCAGAAAGTCCAAAGTCAAAAAAACCTCCTCCACGTCTGTGAATCTTCAAATTGTCATACATAAGAATTGATTTTGGAGATGGATCAACTTTATGTGTCCATCAAAAAAACAAAATAGCTACATATAGTACATTACCTTCAATAACAAAATCAATATCAATGTGCACTTATGATCAAAAATTATACAAAATCACCCGGTGTCCACCAAATATGGCTGTATAAAATACTCTTACCCTAAAAAGAACTTTAAATGGCTTTATATCTCACTCCCCATAAGGATCCACTCACGGCCGATCCTACGGACTCATCATCATCATATAAGGGATACCTCCGAAAAAAATCGTATCATAGTGTATCATCCTTTAAACATGTGGTCAGTGCTACCCTCTTCAACAGCACTTCGTGAAATGCAAAATCACTCTGCCCCACCTTCCAAACCATGCACCTTACCGGACCACAGATGTCCAATATCATAAATAGATGTAGGATGGCTCCTCTTTAATACATTCTCCAATCCCAACAAGCATCATATCATAATTCAAAAGAAGACAGAAAGACCATATAGCGTGTAGTATATTGTGTGTAATAAATATAAATATATAAATAGATAGATATGACATTGAAACACATACTGTTCATTCTGGGACAGGCCAGTGACAAAACCACTTTACACATCAAAAGAACTCTGTGCTATGTTAATTTTATGCAAGGTCACCTGGTATTTGGGGTATTTTGGTATTAGACATTCCAAAGGGTACATTGTATATGTGACTTGACCACACAAGAAGTATTTATTGATGGTAATTAGACTCAAGGGCATATTATATGGTGAAAGGATGACTTGATTACCTGGGAAACACTATAGTGATCATAATTGTTATTTACAGTAATGACAAGTGAAGTCTTTTCATGTAAGATCAAAGTGTCAAATCAGAGTGCTTGCCATTGTATTGAATGAGAAAAATATGTATATCAAGGAAGCTTCTTTTTGGTTAAGGGACACAGGTGACAAAATACAGGACACAGGAAGGTTTTCTGAAGGGTTCTAATGATTGCTTGTCATCTACCTTGTCTGTACCTCCGCTGGGAAAGAGTTTTTTTTCCTGTCATTGATATGGGAGCACAGGTATAGATCATAACTCACAATATTGCATGCAGTGAAGCTACCTAGGTGCATATTATAGATCGGACATTTGTTGGACGGTGTAGTATCTCTATGCTTGATATGAAGTATCTTAAATGGGACTCTGAGGGTTGTTGTTCATTGTAATAATTACAAGTATTCAGCTGGATTTCTGTCATCTGTAACAAATATCTTTATCCAAATAAATGCATCTCTCTGGAAATGAACTATTGGTTGCTGCAGGAAAAGTAAATATAAATATACACTGGTGATACGTCCTCCATCATTGATATAAGACAACAGATTTGTCTTATGAACAGTTTCTGTGTGGACCTCAATTATTAGAAGACAACATAGTGTAGTATTATTATACAGTATTTATATAGCGCCAACAGTTTGCTCAGCGCTGTACATTATAATGGGAGACAGTACACAAGACAGCACAGTAACAATACAATACAATACATGAGGGGTTCGATAAACGAGGGCCCTGCTCCTTGGAGCTTACAATCTAGGAGGGAGGGGAAGGTTGTACAGGAGGAAATAGCTGTGGGGGATGGAGTGGTGGGAAGAGCGGAGGAGATGGGCAATTAGGTGAGGGTGGGGTAGGCTTCTCTGAAGAGATGGGTTTTCAGGGTGCGCCTAAAGGTGAGGAGGGTAGGTGACAGTCTGATGGATTGGCGTATTGAGTTCCAGAGGGGGAAAGCCCTGGAGAAGTCCTGGAGACGGGCATGGGAGGAGGAGACCAGGGAACTAGAGAGTAGGTCTTGTGAGGAGCAGAGAGTGCGTTTTGGGTGGTAGATGGATATCAGGTCGGTGATGTAGTTTGGGGCAGTGTTATGAACAGCTTTGTACGTCAATGTTAATAATTTGAATTTTATGTGTTGGGCAATCGGAAGCCAGTGGAGGGATTGGCAGAGGGGGGTGGCAGAAACAAAGCGGTTAGTAAGGTGGATGAGTCTGGCCACAGAATTCAGGACAGACTGAAGCGGGGATAGCCTGTGTTGAGGTAGGCCAGCGAGGAAGGAGTTACAGTAGTCGTGATATAATGAGGGAGTGAATGAGTTGCTTTGCAGTTTCTGGAGTTAGGAACGTGCGTATTTTGGAGATGTTGGTCGTGATGGAGAGGTCGGGGGGGGGGGGGGGGGGGGCGAGGGCTGGGGGGAAAACTAGGAGCTCGGTTTTGGCAAGGTTTAATTTGAGGAAGTAGAGTGACATCTAGTCTGATATGTCGTTCAGAAGGCTAGTGATTCGGGCGGAGACTGAAGGGGTGAGGCGGGGGGTAGAGAGATAGATTTGAGTGTCATCGGCATAGAGATGGTAGTTGAAGCCGCGGGGAGTGTATCAGTTGACCAAGAGAGGAGGTGTAGATGGAGAAGAGAAGGGGCCCGAGGACAGAACCTTGGGGGACCCCAACAGAGAGGGGGAGTGAGGGGGAGGGTGGCAGCGTTATAGGTAACACTGAAAAAGCGTTGTGATAGATAGGAAGAGAGCCAGGAGAGAGCAGAGTCTCTGAGGCCAAAAGAGTATAGTTTTTTGAGGAGGAGGGGGGGTGGTCGGCCGTTTCAAAAGCCGCAGAGAGGTCGAGGAGTAGTAGCACTGAGTAGTGGCCATTGACTTTGGCGGTTAGCAGGTCATTGGTGAGTTTGAGTAGGGCGGTTTCGGTGGAGTGTAGGGGACAGAAGCCAGATTGTAGGGGATCAAGGAGGTTGTTGTCGGTGAGGTGGGAGCTTAGGCGATTATATGCTAAGCGCTCAAGGAGTTTGGATGTAAATGGCAGCAGGGAGATGGGTCTAAGGTTGTTTAGGTTGGTGGGATCCAGGGAGGGTTTTTTAAGTATAGGAGTGATGTGCGCGTGCTTCAGAGGGGAGGGGAATGCGCCAGTAGAGAGGGAGAGATTAAAGATGTGGGTGAGGGAGCGTAAGATTGAGGAGGAGGGTGATTGTAGGAGTTGTGCGGGGACAGGGTCAAGGGGGCAGGTGGTAAGGCGAGCTTCAGAGAAGACCTTAGTGACCTCTTCAGTGGTAGCAGGGACGAAGGAGTGGAGTGTTGAGGGGGTTTTAGTGTGAGGAATGTTGGGTGGGGTGGAGGTCTGGACAGTGGCGAGGTCGAAGGAGAGGAGTGTTGAGGGGGTTTTCATGTGAGGGATGCTAGGTGGGGTGGAAGTCTGAGCAGTGGTGATGCCCCTGCGAATTTAAAATTTATATAAATGGTCTATTTATTAAAAGATTCAAAACTCTCAATCACATATCTCCTCAATGAAACACAGTGTATATCCACCCAAATACAGCACAGGTAATACAGAACCTCTTTCAAAATGGCCGCTCCGCTACTTCCGACACACTTCGTCACTTCCAACTTTAGCAAAATCGGAAGTGACGAAACGTGTCAAGGGATGGGAAGTCAGATGTAAGACACAGACCGGAAGCAGCTGAGAGGCCATTTTGAAAGAGGTTCTGTATAGTCTGTGCTGTATTTGGATGGATATACACTGTTTTTCATTGAGGAGATATGCGATTTGAGAGTTTTGAATTCTGTAAGCACAATTTTAAAAAATAGACCATTTATATAAATTTTAGTACACTATATGGGTTTTCTCTTCTTTTGTATTATGATATGATGCTTATTGGGATTGGAGATTGGATCAGTATGGATTAAAGAGAAGCCATCCTACATCTATTTATGCTATTGGACATCTATTGAGAGTAATGCACTATATGCAGCTATTTTGATTTTTGAGGGACACATAACAATTGATTTTGGAGATGGATCAAATGTATGTATGACAATTTGAAGATTCACAGAGGCGGAGGAAGTTTTTTTTTTTACTTTGGTCAAGAAGGTTG